TTCGATTTTTGGCATACACGTACTTCTATCCACCAATCTGACATCAAGAAGAGACGTATTGTCAGTAAACAATATCAATTTTCCTTCATACGTTGATTCGAAGTGTAATAAACTGGAAACAAGAGGCCCAGGGGCCACAGCGCTCACCTGAGCATATCGGCTAGGAAAAAGCATATATCAGATCAGAATTAAAAGTTTACTGAGGTGGGGGGGAGGCTTGAATTTTAACCCCCCAGGGGTTCATGACTTCAACAAACTTGAATCTACACTACCTGAGGATGATATAAACATCACTAATCATGGCTTTGAAGTACTTGAAAAGAAGATTTTAAACGGTTTCTTTATATATACCTATGTAAAACTTGGGTCGGCCATTTTGGCCCCACCCTAGCCCCAGGGGTCATGATTTGAACAAACTTGAATCTACACTACCTGAGGATGATTCCACATGAGTTTCATCTTTCCTGGCCCAGTGGTTCTTGAGAAGAAGATTTTTAAAGATTTTTCCTATATCTTCCTATGTAAAACTTAGGTCGGCCATTTTGGCCCCACCCTAGCCCCGGGGGTCATGATTTGAACAAACTTGAATCTACACTACCTGAGAATGATCCCACATGAGTTTAATCTTTCCTGACCCAAAGGTTCTTGAGAAGAAAATTTTTAAAACATGCCATCAAATTTTCATTAATTCCCAATTATCTCCCCTTGAATGAGGACATGGCCCTTCATTTGAACAAACTTGAATCCCCTTCACCCAAGGATGCTTTGTGGCAAGTTTGGTTGAAATTCGCCCAGCGGTTCTTGAGAAGAAGTCGAAAATGTGAAAAGTTTACAGACAGACAGACAGACGGACGCCGGACAAAATGTGATCAGAAAAGCTCACTTGAGCCTTCGGCTCAGGTGAGCTAAAAAGACACCACAGTCTGACATATGAGTTTCATATTTGGATGTTTTATAAGAGAGAGACATTGATGGCAATCCACGACTAAACTTTAGAACCATTTCCAGGTTAGTTTGGATATTCAGTAAGGCGTGTCATTTTCGACGTTACATAATTAGCTTCTGAAATTTACACAGCTTTCCTTCACTGTTGAAATATACATGGAATAGAAATTCGGGCAAATGTCAATTAGTCGAATAACCAATAACATTGTCTCGTCCGGCAAAGAGGTGGAGCTTAAGTCAAATCATCGTTGTCAACAATAATTTAAAGTTCCTGATGTTATCAATTTCTTAACCAATGAGAATCTATTCGCCATTTGAAAGACGCTAATTACGTAGCGCCGAGAATGCCACGCCTTACTGAAAGTCCAAACTAACATGGGAATGGTTCTAAGATAAAATCAGATAACTTCATTTTTCCTACATTTTTCTCTTATTTGTAGAGTAATATACCATTATTCAACTGCATATATGGAGCATATATACATTTGTATATATCTTCTTTGATCGTATGTTCTACATACGAACAATTTCAACAACGAGGCGGGTTACTAGCAGAAGTTGATTATACAAGGTTATCAACAATTTTGTGCCTAGGAGGAGTAAGCATTCCCTGTGGACATGTCACATCCGTGAGCTCTATGATCAGGTAATTTTAATGGAATATATCGTATAAAAACGAAGGCTTACAATTGGTATAAAACAGTCAGCCAAATTACGATACAAAGAGTCGCAGTGGTTAGAGCGTCTGTTCTAGCTTCGCGAAGGAAGGAGTTGATCCTTACGTCGCAGGTTCGAATCTCACTGCGGGACGTGGAGACCGGTCCTTCGGATGAGACCATATAAACTGAGGTCCCGTGTTGCAGGAGGTGCTGGAACGAAAAAGTCCCCTCACTGCCCAATGGCACTTAGTGGCGAGCATAGGACAAAATTTGCAGCTCTCCACCGGCAAGTGGTGGAGTCTCCATAGACTACACCAATGAAGGGCTTCAAATTTTGACCTTTACTCGGCACTCAGTGCCATTGGGCAGTAAGTGATCTTTATTGTGCCAAGGCCTACCGTGACACGGGGTCTCGGTTTTTAAAGTGAAGGATATGGAGATAACGAATAGTATTCAATATCAAAGGCCATGAAACAATACAAAATAGGAGCAGAGCAAACACGGATCTCTAAAACATCAGAGATGGGATCAGTTGCCATGAAGGAGTGAGCATCACCTGCTGACCGGTCACACCCGCTGTGTGCTCATTGTCATGATCGGGAAAAATCCGTCGTCAATTCAGTGTATAAATAATGGACTAACAATTAGTTTGAAAAACGTCAGTCAGTATTTGACTCAATGATAAATTGTATTTGCTGACAAGGTCAGTGTATCGACCAAAGAACTTACGAAATGATGACTTTAAACGAGACTGCTAATATTCTTGTTTTATCAAATTGCTTGTCAGTAATATACCTCGATTTAGAAATTGTTCATAAGTAGAGCATGCTCTTGCGTATCGAATCAGCTGAGATATATAAACTCCGTATGCAGGTGATGAAGGTATATTGCTGCATTTATAAGTAAGGGAGGTCAATAGAAAAGTTAAAGTCATCACTTTTATCATATAGCTTGGTTGTTAGCTTACCATTAACATTTTTTTAAAGTAAAATATCCAAGTATGAAACAGATTTGTCAGACTCTGTGGTATCTTTTATCTCAATTCACCAGGATATATCGTATCGACATAGGTCTCATCCGAAGGACCCGCAACTTTCACGTCAAAGTGCCGAGCGCATGACGAAGGTACAGTTGCTACCCACTTTTATCGACTTAGGTCAGTCATGGCCGAGATTCGAATTCACGACTTCCCAATCACTGAGCGAGCGCTTTAGCGACCGAGATAAGTGAACGGACAATTTAATATGAAGCGATGTGACAGACTCTGTTTCTTTTTTTCTGCTTCAAACATTTTAAGTTATGAAGAAAGCAAGAGATATACCATACAGAGCTGAACTCAGCTGACTGAACGTATAGGACATATCTCAGCTGATAGAACATAGAAAGCCAACTATAGCTGATTGAATACACAGAGCCAGTTTCAGCTGATTGAACATACAGAACTGATCTAAAATGATAACGTACACAGAACATAACCCTGGTGTTTGAACGTAGAGCCAATCTCAGGTGACTCAACATACAGAGCCAATTCCTTGTGAATGAACATACAAAATCAATCCCTAGTGACTGAACATACAGAACCAATCCCTAGTGACTGAACATACAGAAACAACTCCTGGTGACTGAACATACAGAGACTATCTCTGGTGACTGGCTCTTTATATTCAGTCACCAGGGATTGGTTCTGTATGTTCAGTCACCAGGGATTGGTTCTGTATGTTCAGTCACCAGGGATTGGTTCTGCATGTTCAGTCACTAGGGATTGGTTCTGTATGTTCAGTCACCAGGGATTGGTTCTGTATGTTCAGTCACCAGGGATTGGTTCTGTATGTTCAGTCAACAGGGGTTGACTCTGCATGTTCAGTCACCAGGGGGTTGTCTCTGCATGTTCAGTCACCAGGGGGTTGTCTCTGTATGTTCTCAGGTGACTGAACATACAGAGCCAATCCCTGGTGAGTGAACATACAAAGCCAATCTCAGGGGACTAAACATACACAACCAATCTCATCTAATGGAACATACAGAACCAACTACTAAAAATCATATTAAATATGCCCGCTGACAAAAAGTTTAATGCAATCTGTTAAATCAGGTGATGTAAGCTCTGTACGTTCAATCATCTGAGATTGGCTTTGTATGTTCCGTAAGATGAGATCGGGTCTGTATTTTCACACAGCTGAGATAATTCACATTTGATTTAAGACACAAGCGTCTTTGTTCTTGTACCTCTATTAATAAAGTGCAGGCGTTTCTTGTTTATATTTATCAAAAAGAAATAATGTCTTTGAAGAACCAGTCCAATTAGTAAAAATGCCCATTTTTGGCGTATCAGAGATAATGAATAAGCAAAAAATAAGACGTTATTGTGTATTTCTCGATAACGCTATATCTTCTGACAAATCTAGATTATTAGTCAAGCTACGAAGCACAAGCAAATGGCAAAGTTCTTCTGTAGAATCAACGAATTCCGTGCAAAGGAAAATTCTTATTTTCTCCCGCTTTATAGATAGTACTTTTCATAATCTAGGCTTCACTTTAAAGTTTTTGATGAGGAGACACAAACTTTAACCTGGTAAATTATTAAAGTGTTTTTTTGTCTGAGAAGACTTTGGAGACGGTACTTTTAAATATGCTATCCTAGGAAAACGCTCGTGCTGGTATTATTGACTCACGAGAAGACGAGTGAGTAAGTTGACATCAAGAAGAACGTCAGGCAGCGCTTCCTGTACAAATTAACTCCAAGGTTCTCACATTGACATCTATAAACACGTGCTGTTTGGCATCCTTTATAGTATTGATTTTTCTCGATTAAGTCAGATGGAAAAATTCTGACATAAACCATATGGGTACTAACTCGTCCTGTTTTATTTTCATCGAAAATATTAAAGTAGCCTTGACAGATTTCAGTCTTGTACTAAGAAGAAATACAACATGTAGTTTTAAAACATGAGTATTTTCTACTAACATGAGGACTCTTGTCTTCTTGCTTCAAATTTAAACACATAATTATATACATCTAAGCAACCTTGGCAGAACTCCGTCGATTGTCGTTACTTCTCCAGCGTTTTTCGTTATCCCCGCCTTCTTTACCGCCAAAATATTGCTGAAATATTGGCGTCTCGGCTTTAAACAATTACAATAAAACTCCATTCTCTTTCCGAAGAAGAATCAGACATAAACTTAGCCAGACGATAATTACTTTGAAAGTGGGTGCAATTTTTGTTCATTTTCTGAGAGATGAAATTGAATCTGGTTGTTGTGACAATAAACTCTTACTGTGTAATCATCACGTCAGCATTTGGTAATTCGGAACATGATTAATGATATTATCTCGGAGAATTATTCATCACACGGAAACCATACTCTATTATATGGAGAAACAGAATAACCCGTACCAACAATATATCAAACATTGCAACACTGTGCAGTGTCGCGTTTTGTCATTATTTATTAAACATATTAAACAATAGTTCCCATTTACCAAATATTATCACACAAGCAATACATAAAACTTGAAAGATGCAATATAGAATCAAAATATATTCTTCGAATAATTGATACAGTGTATTGGATATCCTCGTTCCATTGTCGTGCGAGGCCACATGGTAGGTAGATTGTCTTTGCGTTATGCTGTCGCCGACTGTTATGAAAAATTCTAAAGTTTTGAAGTTCCTGTCTCTACATTCGGCAAATAATCACCGGAACTGACGCATGATACATGACATAGGAACTAACTCCCCCTAATAAAGTCCGACGCACCGTCCCCAGACCACGTGACCCCATCACGATCATAGAGGCGCTCTCGTTCTTGCATACTTCCAGAATCCCTGGGCCTGGATCCCCGTTGATTCGGATAAACTTCCCATCGATCTACAAACATTTGTGTGAAAAAATCAAAGAACTGAATCACTACTGAAAGACAACATCAATTTATGAATCAAATTTAAATGAATGAAAAATAATTCTGAAGTTCTGATTTGTTCTACTATGAATAAAACTGGGGTATTGGGGGTATTGTGTGGTTTTGTGTGTGTGTGTGTCTGTCTGTCTGTCTTCCTTTAATATATATTAAAAATTATTCAAACTTCTGGTCCCAATATCCTGTCCTAACTTTATATAACATTTATTAATTAGAAACTGGTGTTTTCTCATATTAACAAAACCTGAAGGGAGAGCATTTACTAACATTTCTAACTCTCTGTGATTTCTACAATAAAAGTTCTACAATAACAGTTTAAGTGTACAAATTATAATTAAAATCTAAAACTGATTGATGATGCAGGAATCATTTTTTATAAATGTCTGTCTAAAGAACATCTGAACATGAACCCATGTGAATTATAAATATAAAGGTGATTTGTGAACGGTTACATGTACACTTGATGACGTAGAATAAGCATACGATATACTGAGTTAGCTGTATGAAAACAGTATTAAATCTCAAAAAGTCCATTCAAACACTAAAAAAATCAGGAGCAGAGATGACAGAGACCTCGAAAACATCAGAGGTGGGATCAGGTGCCATCTACGTCTAGGTTTTACTCAAGTGTGAATATCTTGTTGTTGAAGTAATATTGACTCATATTAACTATACATCTATAATATATAAAGGCACAGAGCTCAAATTTACCTTATTCTTTAAAACTTTGGAATCAAAACTTGCTGCGATTTTCTTGACGGAAGCTTCCTCAGTCTCAAGGAAATTGGTAATTAAGGATTTATCACTGGATAAAAGTGTCAAAGCTACAATAAATAAAACAATTATAATTAATATTCGCTTCAAACCAAACAATTTTGGAGTTATTGATCCACCAGAATACAGAATTCACAGAAATTACCTCATAGACTAGGGAGTATAATAGGCGAAAAGATTCTGGATTCTTGGGTGATGTAATAATTAAAAAAACATAGCTGTTTTGTTGTGGACATAGATGTACAGTAAAACTTGAACACCAGTATTATCGAAGTCATTAGGCAGTCCCAACCACTTATTCATCGATATCTCCACATTTAAGTCCCGTCGAGTACAATATAACAAATTTTTACTGTATTTCAATAAAATACTTGGTTGAATATGCTATCTTAGATTTTTTTTAGGAAAGCGAGGGCATTGTCTCAAGATGTTTAAACTATTTTCCAAAAGCTGCTAAGAGATCTGTAGAACCAAAACTTCTAGAGGAATCTATATATTTTTTTTTTTTGGTTGTTGAAATTTTCATTAGACGGCCTTTTTGTTGCAGCATGATTTAACTTTCATGCTCCAAAGATGCCATTGTACTTGTAATTGAAAGAACCCCCCCCCCCTTTCCGATTCCTAACTTCTTTTTTTCATATTACCACTCTCTTACTTTGAACAATGATGTTATCTTCATTGTTTTTTTTTTTGGGGGGGGGGGATCCTAAGACCATCGCGAATCTAATAATCGTGCTCAATGATATTTTGTTTTCAAAGTTACAGAATGTATGCTTGTGCTGAACAAGTTAAACACTTAAAAATTCATCTGAAGAAAAACAATGTGTATATTGACTAAACAATACCACACCGGGTACTGGATAGGGGGTGTGGTATTGTTTTCAATATACACATTTAGAGATTAATATACACAATTACTGTACTTAAAAAGTACATAATGAAACTGTTTTAACGTGTTTTTAAGTGTTAGCGTAATTCTATTCTTTTGGGTTACAAGTTCATTTACACAGGAACGAATTAACAGTTGCTTCCTCTTTACTGTACATGTAATATTCAGATTACTTCATGAGATGTATATTAATTATCCCTGGCAGGTATATCTTTTATTATCATCACTGTTCTTAAAAGTTTCTACTGGTCTGATTTTTCTGTTAATGGAGGATATTTCTTTTACGTTTCTTTTTAAAAAGCATTCACTCCCCACTGCAATGTACATGTATGTTAGGAGAGATGGTTATATTTACAAGGTAAACATTCTTGTGTAGCTACTATCAAAAGTGAAAAAAAAAGGATTTGTACACAAGGCCAGGGGTCAGACACGTATTCGTGTTATTTCTTATTTCACAAAAATATTCTCTCTCTTTAATTGTCCTAGCTGAAGGAAGAGCGACCTTCGTGAGAAAAATTTACTAATCACATCTACATAGAAAGTAAACAGAACATAACATATAAAGATCCAATGCTAATTTTTTTTACAAACTTAAGGGTGTATGCTACATCAAAAGTTCATGTAAAGCAAGGCATGACTTTGGCATCGATATACATTTTATTAAACATTAATACTTTTGCTTTTTGTGAGAAAATAAGGGGGGGGGGGGGGGGGTAGTAACAGATAAGGCATTTTGTAAAATTATTGAATAACTAACTATTAGATTTGTTTAAATTTATAAATGAAAGTAGAAAAAGTGAAGTAAACATACTTATTATTTGGATAAAAAAATATTGATAGAAAAATTAATGATACCAAAATAAATGTGTAAAAAAAAAAATAATAATAAAAACAAACATTATAGACAGTTTCCTAGATATAAAAGATATATAAGAAAACCAAACTCTAGAGAACTGGTATTTGTTCTTTACAAACTGACCTTCAGACGTGTGAAAGATAGAGTTATTCTGAATGTCTACTTCTTATACTTTGACATCTTTAAGCAAGTTTAAACACTTCATCGAGAACCTATAGAAGGATTTGTTTTGACTCAATTCACAGACTGAATTTTACAACCAGGGAAGCTCTTAATGGAAATTTATCCTTTACTTTGGGGCTTTAGAATCAATTTTTACATCATGGGATTTGACTAAACCAAAATCAATGAAGAAACAAGGAGAATGTATCATCATCAGATAGAACCAGGCAGCTTGGCAGAAAAAGGACTGCCTGAGGGAAATAAGCCAAAGCTGGTGAGAGAGAGACCAAAAGGATATAGTTAGTAGACCCATAGATCAACAAGATGATACTCAACAGGCATTGAACTTTCTTAACGTAACACAGTTATAAAAAACATGATTTTTTTTAATTAGTTACTTTAAAAAAATCCATTAATATTTTAAAGAATGATTCACAGTGAAAATAAAATATTGTTTTGAAGGAGAAAGTTCATTAGCATGGCATATAATGGTGTATTCTGTGGAACTTGTGTGTGAATACTTGTTGCATTGTGAACACGATCACAGCACATCTTGTTATGAAAATGACTTACGCTGACTTTGAAGCTTGCTGTAGTCTGCACAGTGAACGCCTATAACCATATCCCCGGCCTTG